CAGAAGTGGTGAAACAATCGGGTAAAACTACCTTATGACTTTCCGTATCATGTTCACTGCGCCGTCGACCTTTTCGCGGTGGGCGCGCATCAGCAACAATTTTGATATTCCCTTCTTTACCGTCACCATCTTGCTTGGAAGTCAAAAGAGGATCGACTTCCAGATGATGTGTGCCAGCTAGCAAACCCTGCTCTGAACGCTTCAAACGGCGCCTTAAAAAAACTAAGATAGAGACAACAGAAGTCAGGAAATCAATATTCTCAAAAAAGATACTTTCTGGTGATGATTGGAGGAAGAAGAAAAGAGTCATCATTGTAATCGTAGCCTCCAACATCGTCAACCTCTTCTACATAGGAAACAGTGGGAACAGCCACCTAAACAGATGAAAAATAAATATAAAACTTAATTTCCTAAAGAAACAGATCTGATACTAATCCCTAAATACATCAAAGAAAAAAGAAAACTGAAGCCGATATGGAACTAATTATTTCGGAAAGATTTCTTATTGAGAGGAAATAAAACAGTAAATGAAGACAAAATAAGAGCTCCAGTAATACAGCATACCAGTGAGCCTTCGCCTAATAAAACTTCGTTTTGAAGCACTCCATCATGTTTCGCTCCTACTCCATTATCTAAAAAAGTGAAACTTTTGTCGAAAACAAAAAAAACAACAATGAATTTAGAGGATGTTGTTTATATTTTCGTGATATAGACATTCAAGAAAAAAATAAAAGAAATCCAATTTGGTGACATTTATAAACAAGAATAGAAATGCAAACCTTGAGAAACCCCGTCTTGTACATCGAGAGCAGGACTGTAATAAGTGTCATCATTGCTACATACATAATTATAAACCATTTCTGGATGACAATCAACACCGTCAACAACTTCTTCGCTACCAACATAGATCTGCTCTAACTCATCGCCTTCAACAGCTACAGCATCTGGTAATTCCTCAGCAACAATAGCTGGTAAGGCACTGACAGGACAACCGTCCACCTAATAACAAAACCAAAATTTAGCAAAAGCTGAACGAAACAGATCTTTTCAAAATCATTTATAATGAAAAATAATTTTGCAAAATTAACATCAAAGTTTAACTAAAAAGTATTCAATTAAATAACAACAATATAATAAACAGTAAACGAACCAAAAGGGTTTCAGGTTCGTTTTCAACCACGTCAGCGCCCTCATCAATATAGGTTCCAGAACCTCGCAAAGGCAAAAATATTTCCTCACTGGTATCCTTCCCTACAGATGTGAGTCTAGTGCCAACCGGATCAGAATAGCAGTGCAAACTGTCAGAATGTAGGGCTCCACCCTACATTTATTAACCCATCACAACGCAACTGACGCATTTCAAGAAAATTAAGCGGCAAAATCTTTTTAAACAAGAGTACTCACGTCAAATATTACTTCCGTATAATACTGGGTACCAACAGGACCCTCATCCCATATTTGCTCTTCATGAACATCATCAGGTTCATTAACTTGTTCGATCAAGTCCTCAACTGTATTGATGACAATGCGCTTCTCGTCAACTTCTTCCACAATTTCTCCCATTTCTGGATGGCAGGTTTGAATGTGGTTCTTAAAAAAACTGAGATGATAGAAGTTCATTCAATGAAAAATAAAAAAAAATTTCGCACAGAGTTAAACATATCCCGAATATTAGACAAACTACGCAGAAGCAAACTCATGCATTACATAGGAGCCAAACTGTTGGCTTTCCTAAACTTACAGCCATCCGCTGCTTTCTCGCGTAACGTGCCATACACTCCTCCACAGGGCATACATAAACAAGGGGTTCAGCACCTGGCCTAAACATTAGAAGCCGAGCATTCATAACAAGATTACATTAGACTTGAAAAAATAAAGAAGTTAAAATAATGTACAAGCAGAATTTATAGACAAAAGAACAGAAAACTGTGAACTAACTTCCTTAAATGTATTTTCTCGTGAGACCTTTTTTGGGAGCTAGTCAAGAAGTCACGACTACAATAGTCACAAGAGAAAGGCCGCTCTCCCCGATGTAACCTCAAATGCACCTAAATCGCAAAATCATTGTTTCAAGACTTAATGCTGACACCAGAAAACGATAATAACAGTAACAAAAAACAAGCCAGAAAACATCAAAAAACAAGTCCTACCTTCGTAAGCATCTCAAAAAATAAACCCACTAAGAAGAAATAAAAGTTTTAACAAATCGAAATGACCTTTAGCGAATTTCCCTGCGAAAAAGCAGCACCACACAACTCGCAACGAAATGGCTTTTCTCCAGTATGAATCCTTACATGTTCTGCTATCTTAGAAGGATGTTTAAAGGTTTTACCGCACTCGGTACAATCAAATATTTTAGCCGGATGACGCCTTATCATCCGATACTTCTTCTGTAACCAATAACATTAAAGGAAAGTCGTAGCTTTAAACGAAACTTAAATTCAATCTTTAAAATAATGAATTTGTTCCTCACAAAAAAACTTCAGCTTTACATCAGCAAATTATTTCAATACCTCAATTATCTTAAAACTTAGTTATGATGCTCTCATAACTATAAAGTGCAGTTCCATAAAAGTTAAAGAAAGTATACAAGTACAAAGCACAAAACAATCCCTCAAATTTAGTCAAGTTCAGGAGAACCTTTTTAAAAGATGCATTTACATCATCATTTACTTCACTTTCACCAGGCATGTTACTATCATTCGTTCTTATAACTGTCATCCGTCTCGTATTGACTACCTAAATCAGCGAAAAAACTTTCGGAATATCGAAACAGGATATATTTAAAGTAGATAAGAATAAGAGGTAAAAAACTAGCAGCGACAAAAATAGTCATTAAAAGTTCATCGTTACCTGTGAATACCCTTTGTGAACTGAATAGTCATTTTTTAAGGAAGCTTCTAAAACAACTACCTCACGTTCGAACATACAAATTAAAGCTAAAATGAATAAAGTTATATGAACTAATCGCGGATCCAGTAAGTAACAAATGAAAAAGATAGTCCTTCCAAACAAGCCAAATAAACAAATGAACAAATAAATAAAGGAGACAAAAACTTCGCATTTATTACGTTAAGTACAATATGATTCGGCAAAATTTATTAGACAACCCCAGGTAAAAAGTACAAAAAAAGTAAAAAGCTCGACTAGAAACGACTTAAGATTAAGGAAAATACGCATTGCAAGAAAAATGGCTCATCGATGGTAGCGAATTTAACCTAATTAAGAAGTTTATCAGAATCTGCCCTTCAAGCAGTATACCAAGTTAATTTTCCGGTTACTGAAGTATCTCAACTGAATATGCGACATACAGGGCTGCAGAGGCTTGCTATTGGCAAATTTCCAGGCACCAGCAAAAATCCAATTCGTCCTTTGAGGATTATTACCTGTCGACTGCAGTAACATTATATAACGAATATGAAGACCCGCTAGTTTCATTATTCCCCTTATTTTGCGATTCTTGTAACTGATGGCGACCTGGAGCTCTACGGTGAATTTACAGGTGCTAATCTTTCACTTAAAGCTTTCGTAAGCGGTAGGGAGGCACTGCTAATTATTTGTCTGTTCTGGCACTTAGGTTATATCGTAATGGTACCAAGAGTTTCCCCTAGTTCAGAAGAGAAAAAATTTAATTTTAAAGCAAAGTAAAAAGGAGAGAAAAACCTTTTCCGTACTGATAATTTTTCTCGGCATTTTCGCCCACAAAAAGTTGGCTGTCAAAAGTGACCCCAATAAGGTCGGAGTTAAGGTGGAGTAAAAAATTCATAGCGTAAGGTCTTGTTTTATTTACTCTAGGGGTACGTTTAGTTTTTTAAAAATTCTCAAAAAAAAAGAAAATTTATAAGCTCCAGTTTAATGGACGAATTTACCAAAGAATTTCCTCATTTTTTTTCTTATTTTTGCTTATCGGACCTCTGTTCATCCATGGGATTTAAAAAAAACCCTGTGCTTTCCTGCCCTTCTGGTTAAGCAGTTCATTTTAGATTTCTTTAGAGTTTTGTGTAGGAAAGCGGAGGTCGTGATAGGTACGCAATGAAGCCTGATTCTCTATCGGCATTACTAGCCGCAGTAGGTGCTCATGCTTCTAATGTTTCTAAAGAAAAAAGGACAGGAGTGCTTTTTACTACTTTTCAGAAGCAGAATGAATGATAGGAGAAGGCGAAATTCTGAAATCCTGCTTTTGACTAGTTTTGGTGTATCCAAATTTCCCTGAAGAGATCTTCAAGTTAACACTTCCTTTGGTCAGTTCCGAGAATTGGTTGATTTGATGATAGTTTTATTAAATGAACAGAGGTGTTTTTGAACACACTCTTACACGCTGCATTTTTTTGCTTCTGACAACTCTGCAGAATCTACATTTAAAGTAATATGGGCCCAGTTTTGCACGTCTAAAGTACAAAATCTGAAAGCGTCGATTTTGTTACGAAACCGCACAAATGACTTAAGAGTGCCTGTAAGCCTTCTTCAACAAGCGTTAAACAAACGAAATCCAACAATGAGAAAAAACGCTTCTTTAATTTAAAATGCTAAAGTAAAGCAAAGCCATTGAAAGGTGGGCCTCTAAAATACAATAGTTCTGCGCAAAAAACCTGCAGCCCACTTATATTTGTGGCTATTTTCCCACGCATTTATAGCGTAGTTTTAGAGCAGGAATTCTTGCCCATGAAATAAACTGTACTACCTGCTATTCCTTACCTGAGCGAATCTATAAGTCGAAGCCAAATAAATGGAAAATTCTAAAGAAAAAATCCGGTCGACCGATGAGAACTCCGTAATCACAGTGCTCCTAATTCTGTTGAAGCCTGTTTCCAATCACTTCTCAAAAAAGATACGTCATCCACGGTGGGAGACTATTCACTTCAAACACCACCAATACCTCTTCCAACCAACTATGAATTTCCCAATAATAAGTTGAAGTCTGCGACCAAGAAAAACCGGCTGACCACTGCGTAAAACGACAACCTTCTTTAACCGAAAAATCCTCCACTGATTTAAACTCCGAATGAGTAACACAGTTAAAGACGGAATAACTGTCTAAAACATCGAATCGTTACTGTGATCTTTTATACAAATTATTTTTTTTGAAGCCATTTTGTGTTTACTCTTTTCCTATCATCGCGTAAGACTTATAATGTTGCCTCAACTGCTGTCAGCTTGTGAAAGTTTATTCATTGGCAGAATATAAAACTAAAGTTCGTAAAGTTAGTACAATATTGCATGGCAATATCACTGTGTTGTCAAAAGTATAAGCTGGAAGCCTTTTGTCAAACGATCATATTTCAACAAGACACCATAACAAAACCTCCAGCAATACAAAATGTAAATTCAAATCCTTTTTCGACCCGTGTATGTGACATAGGTATTGCAAATAGTACACTTACTGCATCAATAAAAAAATTGAGGTAATAATTGGTTAGAAAGTGCAAATTACCGGCGGATAGTGTCTCCAAACCCTAAAAACATCATGTGAATAATAAAGTAGTACTGAATCGTCCAGCCCCCAATGCTGCTAAGAAAGCCCAGGTAAAATACATAGATTGGTAAAAAAAAGCGGATATCAATTGGTTACTTACCACTCGTTACCCGCGTGCTTGAAGTCGGTGAAGAACTTCTGCTTCTGTTTCGTGAACTTTCTCCAAAAAAGTCGCGATCATATACAGTGCCTCCGGCCCTACGGTGACGAAAATAAGGTCTACAACGAGAACTGGGAAATCGTAGGAAGAGGTGTCAATGAACCGATAGACAGACCCTCAGGAAGCTAATAATCATCACCTCTCGCATATCCAGTTAAAAGCAATTAAGGAAGAAGGGGGCAAAATTACAAGTAAAAATTTTTGAAAACTGACTCGCTTTCACTTCGACTATTACCAAAGAAGTAGCCACCAAGCGCACCCAGGGCTAGTCCAGAAAAGAAGCCTGGACCATTATCACTGCCTCCCTGCCGGCCCATCCTGGAACTACTTGCTGTATTGCGATTGCAAGTTTCTTCGTATGATGGAGGAGGCACACCAAAAGTTGTTTTAAAACCAGGTGGAGGAGGAGGTCCTCTACCAGAACCTGGCCCAGGATGGAATGGAAATCCACCAGAACCTCCTAAACGTGTACCGAAAATTAACTTCATTTAAAGTTCATTAAAACAATTTTGAAACTATTAAGAACTTGAATGCATATCCGGCTGCTTAAACGGAGATTTTTTTGCAAATAAGTTCTCACTTTGTTTGTGGGAGCTCCCATTAAAGTTGCTAAATGTCCTCAAGTAAAATATATTATAAAAGAATCTCTTAAATTTCATAGAAGTACTGTTCAAGAGCCGAACTGTACAGAGATATGGAAGAATTACCAGAAAGCTCAAATAAATAAATTAAAAGTAGTTAGCAACCAAAAATTATTCCCGACAGTTAAATGGAATTAGCACCTGGCCAAGCACTAAATAATGAAAAAAATTCCCCTTTCCATTTTCCCTTAAAGATTTCAAGTCCCAATCAACTAAATTTAATTATAGCTGAGCGCCAAAAACTCTTGCAGCACTGTCAGCACATAATCCTATAAATTTTTACAAAATAAGCAACATATTCGACCAAAAAAGCTTCTGAAATTTAAAAACCAGCTACTCTAAGATCACAATTTTAAGAGTCCTAAACACTATAACCTTACAAATGTTCAAGTACCAGAACAGTTCTTTTATCCATCAAATAATGGTCCGATCTTATGCAAAAACTTTTATCAGCTTGTAAAACAGCAGTAAAATTGATATAACGAAGAAACATACTTCTGTCACGGTCGCCTTCGTTTCCCAACCGTGGAGAAGTCAAAGACGTCAGTATAATGTACACGATAAAACATATTATGGCGATCGTCACGAGTTTTCCAGGAAGACTAAAGTAAATGTACGAATAGATGAAAGCACAACTATCAAATGTCATCAAATTGGTTGAGTTCAAAATCGATAATTGACAAATCTTTCTGAAACACAACTGATAATGAAATCAAGAAATCAATGCCTGTCTCAAAAATACCTCCAGCTCTCATCAGAGTGTTTCTTGTGATGATGACTGTTATGTCCCCAGTTCTCCTTCCCATCAACGAAATTCAATTCATACTGCAGCTAAAACACGTCAAAATCCAAAAGAGTTACAACATACATAAAAAATTGATCGTGAATAAAAGATATGCTCAATAATCTTTCACTTATAATGGCCAGAAACCTACTCCGCAAGACCCCTTCAGAATAAATGGATCCTCTGGGTAATCGTACCCTTCACAAGACACTCGAATCTGAAAGCTGCCATAAAACGAGAACGAGGCGCTAACAAAATAATTACTTGAAGAATCTTTAAAAAAAATGATTTAACCACATAAATTAATCTAAGTTTCAAACTCCATTATAATTCCAACCAAAAAGAAATTACTCTTCCAAATTCGACATCTTTTGGCAATTCTGCCTTGCACTCCCATTGGACATCATGGCCATCAAGTCCACGATTATAACACTGGACGACCTATAAAACACCTTCTATCACTACCTATTTCTTACATTAAGCTGCACTGCTGAGTCCTAAGTTTAAGAAAGTAGTAATTCATGCTGATGTAAAACTGCCACCCTAGGTTGAGCATGAGCTTTCGCCGAACCTCCAACACATTTCAACTGAGGAATAGCCTGCGAACGACGAGCAGTTGTAAATTCGTCACGATGAAGTGTGATTGTTGCTACATCCTTCAGTCTAACCTTTTGTGCATAGGCTGAGAAAAAAAAAATCATCTAGATAGTAACACCGTAATAAATGCAAAGTCACATCGTAAAACAAACTTACAACATGAGAAGAACAAAATGGAAACAATGATCTGATTGAACATCTTGTTGGTCGTTTGAAAATCAATCCACTATCACCACTACTACAGAAACTAAAAACTGAAAACAGCAAATTAAAATAGCATCAAAGCTGTTTATATCAGAAGTACCAGTCTTCTAAACATTTTATACTTTCACAGATACTACAATTTTAGTAACATAAATCCGTCTGATACTAAATTACTTAAAGTTTCACGACCACGCTACAGTTACATGATGTATTGCCAAAAATACCAAATCTATTCCTAGTTTTTTTGATCTTGTCTCGACGAAAACAAACAAGCTTCAAAAAGCTGCCTGGCATGAATCCACCGCAAAAAAAATTTGAAAATTCGTTGCTCAAAATGGTTCCCTTAAGACCAAAATTCACAGTTTTGATTCATTTTATCTCGTTCAAGTGGATTCCGGCATGGTGGGACATATGATACGTCTCAACGCCTAGCACGTCACTTGACTGTTTTTCTTTCCACCTTTGCAAACAGATTTTACTTGAGACTAAATCTTATAACAGAGATCAGTGTAAAAGAGGCTTCCGACCATAAAAATTGAACAGCAAATTTTCGTTTATCCTACAATAATATTTCTCTTAGCCTTCAGAAACAGGACTCCTTCAAAATGAAGTGTGGGAATTGAAAGTCAGAAAAAAAGATACCTTCGTTTCTAAGGCAAGTGTAAAAAAGTTTTCTAACCAAAAGTAAAAAAAAAAAGGCACTATGCTGAAAAAGATAAAATGAAGTGAAATAAAAAAAACGTCTGATAAATATAAAAGAATTCTAGATAGACCAGAAGAATAATTTATTGGCAATAATGGAAGAAAAGTAAGGTTGTAACATGATATGCTATGAAACAGCCAAAAAATTAAACTCGCTTGACCAGCCAGATGCAGTATCCTCTTCGGAATCTTTTCTCACTGAACAACTAATTACTTGGTTTTTGTGGAAATGGCAAGGCTAGCTACTAGCTACAGAAAGTATACATATAGGGTGTAGTTCACCAGATTTCCTCTCTCCTCCTGTCATATCTAAGAATAACGCTGTATTGGAAAGGCGCCAATTCCAACGGAAGCTCTACTGAACACTACCACCGTAAATGACGAAATCCAGTTTACAGACACGTATGTTGAAAAGGGTATGAGTAGTTTTAGTTGTCCACCGAGAAGTTTCTGCAATTTTACCTGTTACCTGTAACGATTCCTAGAGTTTACGCAGAGCGATAATGAAAAAAATTTGATTCTTGACTCCAGCAGCGGTGAGGACTTGCCCATATGAATTCAACTTTTGTGTCCAGGGATTGACTTCGCATACCATATTTTGTTTCTTGTCTTCTGTATTTTTCTGATATTGGCGGCGCGAAACAAAATTCATTGTATTGGATCTGGTTGCTCATAGCAGAAGCTTTCAACTTTCCTTGCTTTAACGATTAGACACGAATACGGCTACGAATATATCACTGCTTGACGACTGACACTGACTGATTTTATTAATTTCTTAATTCGGTTGACCAGGAACCTTTGAAAAGACTGTCGGATTTTTTGAGTCCTCTTCTGCACCTTTCTTCCTTTTCCTCTGCTGCTGTTCAACTGCGAAAATCCCCGAGCTGTTGAACGTTTCGTGGTGGCGTCGTCGTTAGTACACATTAAAGCAATGTCAAAATAATTCCACATCTTTTAAAGTTCGAAAAACTACGCAAACTTCTGTAATATGTCGAAATTTAGCCGCAGTATGAAGACACAAATACAAAAACCGAATGATGTGGTGAACTAGGAAAGCAGCTAAATGGGAAAGAACTGAAGCAGCAAAGGAAACTGAATCGTCTTACAGATTACGCGGCAAGTAAATTCAGCGATTGGTGTAAATTGTAAAAATTACTTTTAACGCTGCTATTCCTTTCAGATAAAATCAACTGTGATCAACAAGATTGCCAAAAGGGCCAAAAAAGATGCTAAGGCCATTACCGTTTAATTAGATTTTCTAGAACTTCACTGCGCCCAATTTACTGGTACTCTTGAGCGTTATCGAGCACTTCTCTTTGAAAGTGATACAGTTTTATAAGAAATTCTAATTTTATTTTTCATTATAAATTTGCAGGGAACGATTTAACAGAAATTATCTTTGAAGAAAGTAGTACGACTTTTGCTCGAAACGGTATGTAAAAAGTGTTTTGAGAGTCAAAAGGTGTTAACGTTCTTAAAGTGTTATAACGCATTAAACTTATAGGACAGGAGAAGGGACACGGATGCGAAAAGCTTCAACACCGAAAAACATT